GTCTTGGCCACCCGTCGATCCCTCGCCTTCGTGGCATGCTCAGTCAGGGACTAGTCACAGGTCTCCCACGCACCTTCCCGTCGCTCCCTCTCTCGCTTGCCCCTCCTTGCTCTCCGTGCGTCGCCGGTCGCTTACGCGCCACTCCCCACTCCTCCTCCCTTCGTCCGGCCACCGCTCCCTTCGAGACTCTCCACTTGGACGTCTGGGGCCCTGCCCCGACGCAGGGGTCTGGGAGGGAGCGTTACTTTCTGGTGGTCGTCGACGACTTCTCCAGGTACACCACAGTGTTCCCTCTTGCAAAGAAGTCCGAGGTGACTGCTACGCTGATCAGGTGGCTTCTAGCCACTGAGGGCACTCGTGGTCGTCGAGTCAGTTGTCTTCACTCCGACCGTGGGGGCGAGTTTCGCTCCGGCATTCTCGGCGGATTCTGCGGCGAACAGGGCATCACCCAGTCCTGGACGCTGCCAGAGTCCCCACAGCAGAATGGGGTTGCTGAGCGCCGCATAGGCTTGGTCATGGACATCGCCCGCACGTCCATGATTCATGCCCGTGCGCCCCATTTTCTGTGGCCCCACGCGGTTCGCTACGCCGCACACCAGCTGAACCTCCAGCCGCGTGTCTCGCGGCCCGAGGCTTCACCGACCAGTCTTTGGACTGGATCCCCTGGTGTTGGGTCGGCCTTTCGAGTCTGGGGCTGCCTTGCACTTGTTCGCGACACCTCCGCGGACAAGCTCTCGGCACGCGCCGTCCCATGTGTCTTCCTTGGTTTCCCAGTGGACTCTGCTGACTGGTCCTTTTACCACCCTCCCCTCCACCAGTTCCTAGACTCCCGTGACGTCCGGTTTGACGAGTCCGTGTCCTACTACACCCGGTACCCCTGTCGAGGTCTCCCGGTACCCCCTCCCCCTCTCTTCCTCGCACCCTCTCCTCCTCCTGCTCCCGCTCCTCCGGTACCCCCGCCCCCCCCAGGTCCTGCCCCGTCTGGTGTGTCCCACGCTACCCCTCTACCCTCGGTCGCGCGTCAGGTAGCGTCTCCCTCCCCGCAGTCCTCCTCACAGTCCCCTCAGCAGCCTTCGGCACTTCCGCGACAGGTTACTTTGGACTCGGTTGGTGTTGGAGCTGGAGGTGCAGCCGCTGGCGGTGCTCGGTCTGGGGGTGCTCGGTCGCGGGGTACTGGAGCTGGAGGTGCTGGCGCACGTGACGCTAGCTCTGGGGGTGCTGGAGCTGGAGGTGCTGGCGCAGGTGGCGCTAGCTCTGGGGGTGCTGGAGCAGGAGGTGCCGGCACTGGAGGTGCTGGTTCTGGGGGTGCTGGAGTTGGGGGTGCTGGCACTGGCGGTGCTAGTTCTGGGGGTGCTGGAGTTGGAGGTCCTGGCACTGGCGGTGCTGGTTCTGGGGGTGCTGAGTCTGAGGGGACTGACGCTGGAGACCCTGGTTCTGCGGAGTCCACTCCGCCTCCCCACCGCCACGACACGCGTCTCCAGGCTGCCCGTCGGCGTGAGCGTGAGGAGCAGGAGCGGTTGGAGAGGGAGCGGCAGGAGCTGCGGGTGCTGGACCTTCTGGAGCAGCAGCGGCAGCAGCAGCAGCAGCAGCAGCAGCAGCAGCAGCAGCAGCCGCAGCCGCCGCCGCAGCCGCAGCAGCAGCAGCCGCAGCCGCAGCAGCAGCGGCCGCAGCCGCCACCGCAGCTTCCTCTGGAGCGGCGGTTGTTCCCACCTGTGAGTGGCCTGCGGGCCCTTGGCCTTTCCTCCTCTCCTCCTGTCCGCTCCCAGTCTCCTCCTGTGTTTGTTCCTCCGTTGCCTCCTCCTGACGACCGTCCGGCGGTCTGGTCTTCTCCTCCTCCCTCTGTCCGTCGCGACCTGATCACTCGTTGTCCTCCGCGTGCTCGTCACTCGTCCCCTGTTACTGACCTCCACACTGCCCTCCTTTGTTCGTCTCGTCGTCGTTCTCCTTCTCCTGTGTCCGTTCTCCCGTCTCCTCCTCCGTCCTCCCTACCAGCCCTCCCCACTCCTATCTCTGACTACTACCGCGTTGTTCGTCCTGTTGCCGCACGTGTCCTCGCCACTCTTGTCACCGACTCTCGTTTCCCTCCGTCGTCTGCCTCGGCTCTTACTGCCGCTGTCGCTGAGTTTGCTGCCGCCAGCCACCTTGACTACGCCACCCGTGTGGTGCCAGCTCCTCCCCACCGTCCTCTGTCCGTCGGGGGTGGGTTTGCCCTTGGCTGTGACGTCCTAGAGGACAGAGAGTCTGAGCTGGAGTACTGGGCAGCCGCTTCTCCCTCTGTGTGTGCCATGCTGCTCTCCCCTGAGGGAGACCCCGACGCCCTTGACATACCGACTCCTCGCACTTACCGCGAGGCAGTGTCAGGGGCGTGGGCCTCTCAGTGGAAAGCGGCTATGGACTCAGAGTTGGCGTCTTGGAGATCCACAGGCACCTACGTCGATGCAGTTCCCCCTCCCAGGGCGAACGTAGTCGATGGCATGTGGCTCTTCAAGGTGAAGCGGCCGCCTGGAGCACCGCCGGTGTTCAAGGCGCGCTACGTGGCTAGGGGCTTCAGTCAGCGTGAGGGAGTTGACTTCTTCCAGACCTTCGCCCCGACCCCGAAGATGACTACTCTTCGGGTGTTACTCCACATAGCAGCGCAGCGAGACTACGAGCTGCACTCCCTCGACTTCTCCACTGCGTTCCTCCAGGGCCGACTACACGAGGAGATCTGGCTGCGCCGTCCTCCTGGCTTCACTGACACCTTCCCACCTGGGACCCAGTGGAGCCTGAGGCGACCAGTCTACGGTCTCCGCCAGTCGCCCCGTGAGTGGCACGACACTCTTCGCTCCACGCTTCGTGACCTTGGGTTCAGCCCGTCCTCCGGCGACCCGTCGCTGTTTGTTCGAGCGGGTTCTACTCCTTTCTTTATCCTTGTCTATGTCGACGACTTGGTGTTTGCTACAGCAGACAGGGCAGCCCTGGCTCAGGTGAAGTCCGAACTGCAGAAGAGACACAAGTGCACTGACCTGGGTGAGCTGCAGCGCTACCTTGGCCTGCAGATCACCCGGGACAGAGCCGCTCGCACCATCACACTGACGCAGTCACACATGGTGCAGCAGATCCTTCGGCGGTTCGACTTCCAGTTCTCCACCACACAGCCCACTCCTCTTGCTGTTGACCACAGACTCACGGGCCCCTTTCCTGACGAGCCCTTTGAGTCCAGTGGACCCTACGCAGAGCTGGTGGGCTGCCTCATGTACCTAATGACTTGTACTCGACCGGACCTCGCCTTTCCACTCAGCATCCTTTCTCGCTTTGTTGCGACTGGGAGACACCGCCCTGTCCACTGGACAGCTGCTGTGAGGGTGGCGAAGTACCTGGCGACTACATCAGGCATGGGGCTTGTGCTTGGAGGGACTCAGCCAGTGGCGTTGACTGGTCACTGCGACTCTTCCTACGCTGACGACGTGGAGACTCAGCGTTCGACTCAGGGTTACTGCTTCAGTCTGGGAGCTGGTGCTGTGTCGTGGAGGTCTACACGGTCGTCGTCTGTGGCTACTTCCAGTGCAGAGGCAGAGATCTACGCTGGTGCCATGGCGGCACAGGAGCTTCGCTGGTTGACCTTCTTGCTCGCCGACCTTGGTGAGCGGCCTCGCTCTGCACCGACCTTGTACGCTGACAACAAGGCCATGATCCTCCTGTGTCGAGAGCCTCGACTGGAGAGCAGAGTGAAGCATATTGACGTGAGGTACTTCCTCCTGCGAGAGTTGCAGCGACGCGGTCAGGCACGTTTGGACTTTGTGGCCTCACAGGCCAACACTGCCGACGTCTTCACCAAGGCCTTGGCGCCTGGTGACCACCACAGGTTCTGTGTGCAGTTGGGGCTTGTTGAGGTAGGCCCTCGGTTGCTGTAGACTTGCTGTTTGCTCTACTTGTTGTGCTTCTATATATACTAGTAAACTCTTGAACTGGCCTTGTGGCCACTTGCTTGTGCTCGGAGTGTGTGGTGACTCTGAGCGCCACCCTGAGCTTTGTTTTTTATGCTTGTTCTTGACTGGTCTTGTGACCCCTTGTTTCCGTTGGTTGTTTTGATGCCCCTCACTTAGCCTATGGGGGTGTGTCAAATGTTTATATATTCTATATATTGTTAGATAGGCTACTGTGAGTTGCCCTCTAAAGGGTACAACACTTTAGGTCGACATTTGTATCTCCTTGTCCCTCCTTACTCAAACATTACTCTCGACACTTGTCTCCTAGCCTATCTTAAGAGGTATTTATGTTATCAGTTACCCTGCCCACATCCATCCATCCACACCAATAATTGTACCTCCAATACTCCAATAATTATGGCCCTCCAATAAATTATTGGAGGGCTGGGAGTTTTATAAAGACTACTGTAAAATCTAACAGCATAAACATATTTCTTTATCCTTATATTTTCAACACTCGTCATATTTTTTGGGGTCTTTTAAGACGCTTATTGGGGTGGTTTTGCAACGGGCACATGCTCGCGTTATCTTGTTGCAAGCTGCGTCGTTCATAGGGGTAAACAGGGAGAAGGAGGACAGGTGGGTGAGGGGAGCCTCTCTGGGTGGAAGTTTCATGTTTGTCGGACGCGCGGCTGTGAGGGGATAGGGGAGGGGGAAAGGGAGGGGGGTTAGGGGGTCGGGGTTGGGGGGAAAGGTGCAAAGGAACGTGGGTACTGGGTTGTTGTCAGTCCGGGCTGTTTAGGGGGTAATTATGCTCGATGTTTCCATGCTGTATGTGCTGTACATATTAATAGTGAAAAAAAAAACCTCATGCTGCCGCAGTGTACGGAAGGAAGTCGTTTGGACCTTCCATCTCTTGTAGATGCTGCTCCTTTTGGCACCACTCAGCTTTATTATAAATTGTAAAACGAAACACATAATTTACACGCTAAAGCAGGAACATTGGTCCCAGCCAAAAACAAGTGATACCACACTAGGTCCCAACTTACAGCCTGGCCACAAACAGAGACAAATCATTTTCCTCTTAAGACATCAAACCATGGCAGCGACGCCCTGTGACTTGGGCGTCTCCACCTTGAGCTCGTACTTCTGGCCGCGAACCACGGCGTACATCTTGTCGGGCGCGATGTAGTCGCAGGTGCGCTCGATGCGGAAGGGCTGGCCGGGAATCTGGTCGCCCGAGTGGATCTGCACGCCCGTGATGACGGCGTAGTCCGCCGTGGCGGGGTTCACCGTGAGCGAGATGAGCTTCTCAAGGTCCTCGTTTATCGCCGCCAACGCCGCGCGCGTCACGTCCACCAGCGACTGGTCTCCGCCCGACACCTGCGAGATGAGATAAGGGTGGGAGATTCAGAAGCGGGAGATGCTTAGTTTCTAGTTTTCGTGGCGAAAAGGTACATCTTGACCTTGATTTCTTGGCTCATCATTAGTGAGAGCTAATGGCAATGACATGAGAAACTGATGTTTTCTTTATTAACGTTATCTTACCTTAGCCATGATCTTCTTGCGCAGTAGCGTGTACTCGGGGTCGTCGCTGTCCATGCTGGGCGCCACGCCGTTGTTGATGTCGTTGTTGATGGCGATCAACGCTCCGCACGCGCTCGACGCCTTGCCGCGACCGCGACGCAGCAGCGACCCCACCTCACCCGACTCGCCGATGGACACGTGCGGGAACGCGAAGAAAATGTCTGCAGAGGGGAGGAGGAAGATACGGAATAAGAATACGAGGGTTAATTTAGTGAACAAGATGGGTATGTCGGCAGCGGGAAATTAAGAGAGTTGCAGTTTAGGATAAGACATTGCCAGTTGAACAGAGGAGAAGCGACGAAGAATCATTAAATGCTTGGAATGCCACGCGGCAAAGTGGAAAACAAGGTAAATTCGAATGCTACTCAATTCACACTAGGGTAACCGTGATGAGAACTGAAACTCACATCGCTCCTTGAGGTTGCCGTCGACGTCGCAGGGGAACTCGGGCGAGTGGCTCATGGCGGCTCCGAAGCCGACCTTGCCGCAGTTGACGAGCCCGCCCAGCCCCGAGATGTTGAAGCTCAGCCCGAACTCGCGGTCAATGATGCTCACCACGGGCCGGCACACCTCGTCGCGGCACGTGTTCACCAGCGCGATGCCGTTGTCCTTGCGGAACCCCAGCTTCGCCAGCTCCACCGCCACGGCCTTCAGGAACGCCTCCTCTTGCATCGCCGACGGGAACGTCGTCGCCATCGTCGCGAGAGCGGACGCCGCCGCGTGCTTCGCGCGCGGAACGATGCCGCTGGGCGGGACGCTGGTGACCGCGGGAGGCGAGGGGGCGGGTGCGGCGGGAGCGGCGGCGGGAGACGCGGTGAGCTTCTTCACGGCGACGTAGGTTGCGGCGCCCAGAGCGCCGGCGCCGACGACGGCGGGGATGAGAGCGCTGGTGGCGGGAGCGGCGGGAGCTGCCGTGGATTGGGAAACGCTGGCGAATTGGCTGTCTCCGCTGGCCATGGCGACGATGCTGGTGCGACGGTTACCGCATTTCGCGCAAGGGCAGGCGCAGGATCGGCCGCATGACACGCAGGTGCATGTTTGAACCCCGGCAGAGGCGGAGAGGCCCCTGTGCGCCTTGAGGCCGGAGAACGCTGGGATTGCCGCGCGGGAGGAAGTGGCGAGGGTGCTTCCCTCTGGGACTGAGAGGGAGCGAAGGGAGGCGGACGCCGAGGAGGAGAGGGTCGCGGCCATTTCGTCGGAAAGTCGTGCAAAGGCCTGGAGACTACAGAAAAGTGTAGTGAGAGGCTTTAGTCTTCGACAGCGACGGAAGCTGATCGGTACGAGAAAGCTGGAAGCTTGTAATTCCTCAAATTTAGTAATTAGCAATGTTGGAGGGGTGTTTATACAAAGTCAGAACGTTGCACATTGCAACTCGTTTGTCTGGTGAATGCGGGAAAAGATTGCTCAGGGGCGCGATTACGTTTTTCTGAAAGGTGGTCTGAATCTCGCCCAGGATTTTGGACTGGGCAGGGCTAGGAGCTTTGAGGGGTCTTGGAAGCAATTTTTGCCTGGGTGCGGTTCGCGCGTGCGCTTGGTGAGTGGTGAGGAGAGCTGACCTGGATCATCCACATTGGTGCATCCAGGTCCAGATGACAGCCACGTCAGCAAAAAGTCGATAAGTCCATGGCTCCAATTTCGCTCCCGAAGCGCACATTGTGACATTCCCTCCCCTACCAGTTTCCCGCTTTTCAGGGTCTTGTGCACTGGGAAGTGGTTGTTCCTATCAACGACGAGGAATTGACATGATGGAAGTCACACGCTCACCCTAATCCTCTTCGATGTTGATGCCAGGCGGGAGATGCAGGAGAACTATCTGATACAAGCAAGCACTCCCCATAAAGAGGACAAAATGCAGGCAAGGAAATTGTTACCATAAACAATTGTCGATTTCCTTACAACCACGTACAATTAACTTAAATCGGCCCTTCGCCCATTACCAGCCTCCAGTGTTGAACGCACTGCGCGCCAGTTTTTTCCAGACTACGCACGGCTGTAGAATGTCGACACGGCCTACGCTTCAGGACTAGCATGAGGAAAGCATGAACATCTCTGGCAATGACAGTGACAGGTCTGCAAGGATTATGACGAGTGGCTTTAAACCTAGATACCGTGAAGGTTCCGTGTCAGTTGACTTTAAGAACCACAGATCCAGATTCCTCGTTACAAGGTGAAACGAGCGATACAATTTTTGTGTCTATACATCAGACATCGTATTGTTCTCTACATGTAATCCGTTTCTCTGTCAGACAACTAACTCCAAGGTTCCTTTTGGTTTGCTGCTAACTGTCAGAATACTGAACGAGAATGAATGCATTGAACAGAAAGTTGGGTACAAGTACTAACCCAAGTTGGGTTGTACCCCTTATGGGCTACCCCACTACAGCCTACATAATGTAAGTACTATAACACTTTGACACACCCCCATAGGCAAAGTGGGGGAGAACAAGTGGTCACAAGACCAGTAAAAAAAAAACAGAGCAAGCTCAGGGTGGATTTTGACAAGTCACCACACATTTCGAGCACAAGTAAATGGCCACAAGGCCAGTTCACATGCAGAGTTATATAAAAGAAAACAAATATTATAGTGATCATACCCTAGCAAGAGTAAGCATGCAAGTATATATATAAATCACAGTACAAGCAAAGTCACGAAGTGAGCAAGTGAGGCAAAGTAGGCACAAGGCCTAAAACAACACAGAAACGCTGATGATCACCAGACTGAAGTGCCTTGGTGAATATATCAGCAGTGTTGGCCCCACGTAAGCAAGACGAAGCTGACCACGCTACTGCAACTCTCGAGCAAGGAAGTAACGCAGAGCGATGTGCTTCGTTCTGTACTCCAGTCTGTGCTCCTGACACAAGGCAATCATGGCCTTGTTGTCTACGTACAAAACTGGAGAAGAACAAGGCCGCTCTCCCAAGTCGGTCAGCAGGTAGGTGAGCCAGCGTAACTCCTGTGTAGCCATGGCCCCTGCGTAGATCTCAGCCTCACAACTGGAACTGAGAACAGAATGTCAGAATCCCAACCACTAGACCATTGGGATAAAAGGACTTTCTAAGTAGCAGGTCAGAGTGCGCCCATAACCCCCCAGGCGAACGCGCCTGTAACCCCCCGTAGGATCAATCGAGCATCCACAGTGCAGATCTACTGACACCCCCCCACACTGGGAGGCCCAGGACTGAGCACAGCGGCAACGGCCTACATGTGCATACACCAGGATTCGAACCCGAGACCACTCTGACACCATATCAGAACCCCAACCACTAGACCATTGGGTTAAAAGGGCTTGTTAAGTTGCGGGTGAGTGCGCCCATAACCCCCCAGGCGAACGCGTCTGTAACCCCCCTAGGATCAATCGGGCATCCACAGTGCAGATCTACTGACACCCCCCCACACTGGGAGGCCCAGGACTGAGCACAGCGGCAACGGCCTACATGTGCATACACCGGGATTCGAACCCGAGACCACTCTGACACCATGTCAGAATCCCAGTCACTAGACCACTGGGATTAAGGGCTCGGTCTGGAGGCGGCGCTGGTAGTCGGAGACGGACTGGGTCGTGGGGACCACGGGGGAGAGTGCCTCCGCGGAGAAGGACATGGCGGGAGCTGCGGGGGCGGGGGTGACACCGCCGACGCTCAGGAGCAGCTTGATGATCTCCGCCTTGGTGTCACCGCGGAGACCCTTGGCCGAGGCGAGCGCGCGAAGCTCACCCAGAGTCTTGCTCTGCAGGAGCGCCTCGTCGCCAGAGAAAGCTGCAGTGCTGGCGTACGACGAGGGCTTGGATGCGGCGGCACCACCAGTGAGGGCAGAAATGAGCTGGGCCTTGTTGTTGCCGGTGATGCCCTTCATACGGGCCATGGCGCGCAGCTGCTCCAGTGACTTGCTCTGCAGGTCGCGAGCGGTCAAGGCCGCGACAGCGACGAGTGACCGACGCTGCTGCTTCGCCTGGATCGTTGGGAGCGAGACCGACATGGACACTGAGCATGCCTGCTCCATGGAGGAGAGAGCAGGTGCTGCCAGGAAGGCAGAATTCTGAGCGACGGCGGCCATGGCTGCCCTTTGCTGACGAAGTTGACGAAGAAGTGATGTAGGAACGAGCTAACTTGTCAGCAACGGAGAGCAGAAAAGGCAGACGAGCGAGCAGAAGACATTTTTTTTTTTTTTTTTTTTTTTTTTTTTTTTTTGCAAAGGACAGTTTATATAAAATATGTTTTCAACACACCCCCTAAACTGTTCATAGCAATAACCAGTGCAGTCAACACTCCCTGAAGGGGTACACCCAAGGCAGGGTGCAGCAGAAGTGAGAGAGGGCATGTGAGGAGGAGGAGAGAGAGAGAGAGATGAGGAGAGGAGGTGGGGGGAGCCAAGCGCGGCGAGCCCCTCTTACGAACCCCCTCATTACAAAGGGGGAGGTGAGTGAGAGAGAGAGATGAGGAGAGGAGGTGGGGGGAGCCAAGCTCGGCGAGCCCCTCTTAAGAACCTCCTTTTTACAAAAAGGGGGGGGGGGGTGAGAGAGGGAGGAGAGGAGGTGGGGGGGAGCCAAGCGCGGCGAGCCCCTCTTAAGAACCTCCAAGTCCACACCCTCTTTCAGCCACCCCCCTAAACCTCACCCTCCCCCCCTATTCAACCACCCCCCAACACCACACCCCTCTTTCAGCCGCCACTCCGAACTACACCCCTTCCGCCACCCCCTCACCCTCCTCCCTTACCCCACTGCAATAGGAGTAGTAGGGGGGGAAGAAAGAAGAGGTGGAGGGACGGCTGTTGGCTGGTCACACCCGCCACCCTCACACCCTCCCCCCATCTGGTGCTGCAGATCCCCTCCCCCCCCATTGCTGCACCCGCAGCAGGGGGATGGAGGAGAAGGGGGGGGGGGGTGAGGGGGCTGGTGCTGCAGTTCCCCTCCCCCCCCCTTGCTGCACCCGCAGCAGAGGGATGGAGGAGAAAGGGGGGGGGGCGGAGGGGGCTGGTGCTGCAGATCCATTCCTGCCACCCCCTTACCCTCCAAGAGGCCGCCACCCCCATACACCCCCCCTCTCGGGGGGGGGGAGGGGGGGGAGGGGGGCGGGGGCGGGGAATGAGCTGCGCGTGCGACTGCAAGGCGCGCGGGTAGGAAGAACCCCCTCTTGCCACCCCCTTACCCTCCATGATGCGACAGGGCACCGGGGCCGCGGCTAGGGGCGACAGGTCGCGAGGGGCTGAGGCTAGAGGCGACGGGGCCGCGGTTAGGGGCGGCAGGTCGCGAGGGGCCATAGTAAGGGGCGACGGGGCCAAGCGCGGGCTAGGGACGGGGCCGGGCGCGGGGCTAGGGGCCGACGGGGCCGGGCGCGGGCTAGGGACGGGGCCGGGCGCTGGACAGGTACGGGGCCGGACGCTGGGCGCGGAACAGGGCCGGGCGCGTGGCTAGGTACGGGGCCGGGCGCGGGCTAGGTACTGGGCCGGGCGCGGGATAGGTACAGGGCCGGGCGCCGGGCTAGGGACGAGGCCGGGCGCTGGGCAGGTACGGGGCCGGGCGCTGGGCGCGGGATAGGTACGGGGCCGGGCGCCGGGCTAGGGACGAGGCCGGGCGCTGGGCAGGTACGGGGCTGGGCGCTGGGGGCGGAACAGGGCCGGGCGCGGGCTAGGTACTGGGCCGGGCGCGGGCTAGGGACGGGGCCGGGCACGGGCTAGGTACGGGGCCGGGCGCGGGCTAGGTACGGGGCCGGGCGCTGGGCTAGGGACGGGGCCGGGCACTGGGCAGGTACGGGGCCGGGCGCTAGACGCGGAACGGGGGCGGGCGCGGGGCTAGGTACGGGGCCGGGCGCGGGCTAGGTACTGGGCCGGGCGCGGGCTAGGTACAGGGCCGGGCGCTGGGCTAGGGACGAGGCCGGGCGCGGGCTAGGGACGGGGCCGGGCGCTGGCTAGAAACGGGGCCGGGCGGGGCTAGGGACCGGGCCGGGCGCGGGCTAGGTACAGGGCCGAGCGCTGGGCGAGGGACGGGGCCGGGCGCTGGGCGAGGGGCGGGGCCGGGCGCGGGCTAGGGTCGGGGCCGGGCGCTGGGCTAGGTACGGGGCCGGGCGGGGCTAGGGACCGGGCCGGGCGCGGGCTAGGTACGGGGCCGGGCGCTGGGCGAGGGACGGGGCCGGGCGCTGGGCGAGGGGCGGGGCCGAGCGCGGGCTAGGGTCAGGGCCGGGCGCTGGGCTAGGTACGGGGCCGGGCGGGGCTAGGGACCGGGTCGGGCGCGGGCTAGGTATGGGGCCGGGCACAGGCTAGATCTACTGACACAGAAGACGAGCGGGTAGACCGCCAAGAAACTGAGCCGGAGCCAAGGCTGAAAGGTCAGGTCGAGTGCAGGTCATCAGGTATATGAGGCAGCCCACAAGCTCTAGATACGGGCCACTCGGCTCTACGGACTCGTTCGAAGGTGGAGCTGAGAGCAAGTGACCAGTAGGTAGAGGAGTGGACTGTGGCGAGGAGTACCGAAAGCCGAAGCGCTGAAGGACCTGGTGCACCATGTGTGACTGAGTCAGGGTGATGGTGCGCCGTTCTCTGTCCCGGGTGATCTACAAGCCAAGATAGCTTCGCAGCTCACCCAGGTCAGTGCAGGTGTGTCTCTTCTGCACCTCCGACTTCACAAGGGCCAGTGCCTCAGTGTCAGCAATGGCAAAGACCAAGTCGTCGACATATACGAGGACGTAGAACGGCGGCAGTGAAGTGTCGTTGCGTAGAAATAGCGACGGGTCAGCAGTCGAAGGAGCAAACCCAAGAGCCATAAGCGTCGTCCTCAGTGTGTTGTGCCACTCGTGAGGCGCCTGGCGGAGACCGTAGACTGGCCACCGGAGGCTCCTCTGGGTACCTGCAGGAAACGACCCCGTGAAGCCAGGTGGGCGGCGCACCCACATCTCCTCGTGTAGGCTGCCCTGTAAGAAGGCTGTGCAAAATTCAAGAGAGTGCAGCTCGTAGTCACACTGAGCGGCGACGTGCAGCAGAACTCAAAGAGTGGTCATCTTTGGGAGAAGGTCTAAAAGAAGTCAACTCCCTGTCACTGACTAAAGCCTCGTGCAACGTAACGAGCCTTGAAGACAGGCGGAGAACCCGGCGGCGGCTTCACCCTGAAAATCCAACATGCCATCGACTATGTTCACCCCAGAAGGGGGAACTGCGTCAATGTAGGTGCCTGTGGACTTCCAAGATGCCATCTCTGCGTCCATGGCTGTCTGCCACTGAGAGGAGTAGGGACCCGTAATCGCCTCTGCGTAAGAGCGCGGGGTCGGGATGTCTGGTGCATCAGGGTCTCCCTCAGGTGCAAGCAGCATGGCCACGAGATGAGGTACAGTAGCTGCAAGACACTCAAAGTCCTCCTGCCTGTCCTCAAGGACGTCTGTGTCAAGAGCACACTCACCCTCGACGGACGGAGGACAGTCAGACTCAGACTCAGCAACAAGACTAGTGGCGTAGTCGAGACGACAGGCGGCAGCAAAGTCAACAAGCTCAGCAACTAGGGCAGATGCAACAGTGGACTGAAACGAAGGGTCAGTGACAACAGTGGCTAAAAGACGAGGGACAGTAGGGTTGGCAGCACGATCTAAGTCAGACTCAGGATCAGGAATGGCAGGAAGAGAGGACTCAGGAGGAGGCGGCAGGGGAACTCGCAGTGGAACAGAGGAAGGACGAAGTGCCATAATGTGAGAGCTTGTCCGCGGAAGTATCGCGAACAAAGGCACGAGAGCCCCTGACCCGGAACACCGACGCATCGCAAACATTCCTCGTACAACGCGGTGTAGGCGAGGTCTCCGGCAAGGAGACACGGGGCCAGAGGTTGAGCTGATGCGCAGCATACCACAAACGGCCACAAAAAATGGGGAGCAGCCGCATGGATCATGGAGGTACGAGCTACCTCCATGACTAATCCAATGCGGCGCTCAGCAATCCCATTTTGCTGCGGGGAGGCCAGAAGCGTGAACGATTGGAAGATGCCCTCCCTACGACAAAAGTCCCGCAAGAGGTCGGAGGAGAACTCACCACCTCTGTCAGAGTGCAGACGAAGGACAGGAAGGTCCTCGCGAAACCGCTCGCGGAGCTGGAGACGGACTGCGCGGATCCAAGGGATCAAGAGACCAGGGACCTCACCCTTGCTGCGCAAGGGGAAGACCGTGGTGTAACGTGAGTAGTCGTCAACAACCAGTAGAAAGTAGCGCTCGCGGCCCTGTCCACTGACGTTGGCTGGGCCCCACATGTCCATGTGGAGAGTCTGCAGGGGAGCAGTCGTCGGGGGAAACGAGGATGAGTGAGGAGCGGCGCGCTGCCGCCCCTCGACGCAAGGAAGGCAGGGTGGGGCAGGGGAGGGTGGGAGGGGAGGCAGAGACCTGGGAAGACCAGAAACAAGGAGGCAGGAGTGCATGCCATGAAGGCGTGGCAGGGAGGGGTGACCAAGATGGTGGTGCCACAGGAGAGTCTGGTGCGACAGGAGGCGACAGGAGCAGGGGGCTACTACCGGACCTGACGCGGACACCTGGGCAGACGCAGCTACCTGAGGAGGCTTGGTAGCGAGTGTGTACAGACTCGACCCAGGCCGACGGGTGAACGTGGCCAGGTGACGGCCCGTCCGTGTACACGTGCATATCGACACACGCTGACCCCCAGGAGTGGTGGTAGTGACCATCGCGTCCTGGAGGGCAGCGGGACTCACCAAGTTCGTAGAGAACGAGGGGAGGTGAAGACCTGAGAGTGAGCCAGACGGAACCGCCGAACACGGGAGAATATTGGAGGAACGGGCAAGAACTGGGCCCCCTGAGGAGTGAGCCAGTCTGACCGGAACAGGTGCAGTGAGAGGAGTGAGGGTGAGACTGTCGCGAAAGAAACAGCGGGAATCACCTGAGTCAAGCGTAATGGTGTGCAAAGCCGTAGCAGGGGTAGTACCAGGGAGAGAAGACTCACTAGCATCTAGAGCAGCAGCCTCTATACCTGGGTCAGGCGGCACACACAGGTAACAGTCACCCTCAGCACTAACAGACAAGGCATACATGGCAGCAAGGATATCATCATAGTCAAGAGCAAAGATATCAACTCTA